AACAATAATATGCTAATTCTATAGCATATTCATCTAAAATAGAAATATCCTGTATTATCATAGCTTCTTTGCATTTTTCTATTAGGATCTTTGTAAAATTTGATAATTGTTTTGCTAATCTTGTTAATAATTAAATATTATCCTTGAATTTAATTGCATTAACGTAAACAAATATGCTACATAAATCTTCTGCTGATTTTAGTATATATAGTAAATCTACTTTTCTTGATAATTTATGTTTTAATACAACATCTAAGATATTTTTTATCTCTGTGGAAAATGTTTTTTTTGTCTAAACTAAAAGATCAATAAAAACTATTCTAGCTATCTGATAATATTCACAGATTATTGTTTCAGTTGGATTTACTTTTATGCTTTGATTAGAACTTTCAATTCCATAAATTTTTCTTTGCATCTTTTCGTCAATATTTTTGTCAACTGTTTTTATCTTGGTTTCTCTGATATTATTTACTATATCTTGATTTAATATTTGATTAATTTCTTTTTCAATATTTAATGAATATATTTTTTTTAAAATAAAATTCTAATCAAACTCTCCAGTATTATATCTGATCTCAAAAGAAAACAAATAATTATTGATCAACTTGAAGAATTTTATGATTAATTTTTTTTGAAATTGAACATTAATAATTTGTATGTTGCTATATTTTTTTTCAAATAATTCTTGATTTACTAAAATTTCTGTTAAACAGAAACGTTTAAATGGTATTGGATCAGATAGATAGCAAAAATCCATTTGAATCATGTATACATAATCTTGTTGTTCTTCTGCAACAGAAAAATATCCTAGATCTCTTGTACTATTATATTCTATATCCCAATATAGTAATATTAGAGGGATTTGTGATTTATATTCTATTTTTGTTATATCATCAAATATTATTTCCATGTTGTTTGTTATTAGTTTGTTGATTTGATACTATCCAACTAACTCAAAATTATTTTTACATGCTATTTTTTGATAATGACAAGTGTTATTATCTGAATAAGTGTCATATTGTTGCTAATATTTCTCAAATTCTTCTCGACTCTTTTCAACATCCATCAATTGAAACTTTTCTTCTATAATCAACTTTAATGCTTTTTTTTTTGATTAGATTTTCAAAATAAAGACAAATAAATTTATATTTTTCTGTTGAATCAAATGGTTGTTTCTCAATAATTTCATAACTTGATAGGTCAAATTCATCAATATATTCTAATACAAATTTACTTTGTTGTATTAATTTAATATTAAAAAATACTTCTTCGATCTTTATATTAAATATAAATCTTTTTTCTTCAGGATTAATTGTGTATAAATAAAGTAAATAATATTTGTTATATAAAGCTGATAAATCAGCAGCATCATAAATATAAAAAATATTAGATATTTTATTTTTGTGTAAATAAAATTTTAGTCAGTCAAAAGACTAACTAGTAGATATTTTAAAAAATAATTAATATATAACTATTATCAAAGCTATTATAATTAAAAAATTATTAATTTGTTCAAGAATAAAAATAAATTTTCTTTTTTTTTTCTATTTCTTCTTGTAAAGATTTATGTTCAATATTATTTTAATATTAAATTTAAAATTTTTATAATATTTTTTATATGATATTTAAAAATTAAAATTTTTAAATTTACGTAAATAAATTTCTATTTGGTCTTTTGACTAAATAAAAATAATTACTACTAGATAAAAATAATTATTAACCAACAACTATTCTAATTAGTTACTATCCAATAACTAGATAGTATAAAAATAAAAAATATTTATAAAAATAAATTTATATTAAATAGTAAGTTCATCAAATAACTCTTTAAAATAATTCTTCTTATACTCCTCAACAGTATAATTATTTTCAATTTTATTATGAGATGGATAAATTTTATCAATTAATTTTTTGTAAAAATCAGATAATTTGATTAAATATTCGTCAGTATAGGTTTCTGCTTCTCGATCTCTTTTTCATTATCTTTTAATCATATTTTCATTTGTAGGTTTTAAATAAAGCACTTTGTTAATATTTTCTATTTTAATTTCTTGTTTTTTTTTTCCTAAAAAATCAATAACTTCTTCATCTTCAGTATTCATTAATGTGAAAACTTCAATATCAATATGTGTTTGATCAAGTATTACAAAATTATATAAATCAATCATATTAATTTCCACAGCCTGTTTCTTGTAGAAATTAAGAATCACATATTAAAAAAATAAAGCATTATTTTTTGGATCTTTACAGAAAAGCTTTAATTCATCATCAAGTAATAAAAATGCTTCGACTGGATGATAAACTTTATATCCTTTTTCTTCTAAATAGCTCATAAATTTTTCTCCAAATGTTGATTTTCCTACACCAATAGCCTCTATTAATACAATAATTTTTTGGTTGTCTTGTTTTAATTTTTTTTCTTTTAATTACTTCATTAGGATATTTTCTCTTTAATCGTCTTAATGTTTCTTGTTTGATTTTGTTTGTATATTCACTTTCTACAACTTTTAAAGTATTATTATATT